TGATACACAGACAAGCTATTTTGACTGATTAACAAATGCTACCACCTGATAGCTGGTACAAACACTAGAGGTCTCGCGTAGAGCTCCGGTATGGGGATTTTTTACATACCATGTTGAATTTATTAGTTCTCATGGAATATTTGCTTGATCTTTTTTATATTTTTACATCCTACTGATTATACCCTTTGGCTACTCTGTACAAATTTTCAGTGAATTTGGTTTATCAGTTGCCAAGAAAGTACTTGGCCAAAAGTGTCTAATTTTTGGGACACCCGATATATTACTTGTTTTCTCTTTAAAAATGATATGGACCGTGTCACCATCATCATGGTTACCATAGCAACCATAAATGTTAAGTAATAATCATACATACATGAAAACTTGACAGTGTAAACGTATAAGATGGGGGCACAAACTTACCGAATAAGAACAAGATTGATCCATTATTTACATAATTAGATATATTTGTGCAAAACTTTTTGAACAACCCTTGTACAATATACATTTTAGTGCAAATATTAAATTAAACATCACAGTCATATTAGAATCATAAATAAAAATATAAAGACTGATGTCCATGATATCAAAAATTCCATTTATAGTTTTAAACTGGTTCTATTTCTGAAAGTAGTAGTAGTGGTGGTGGTGGCGGAAGTAGTAGTTTTATTTATTTATGTCTCTAATAGCTAATGTTTCCATAGCATTATTACATTAAAACGATAAATGAAAATTAATATTGATATAGTGCCCGGCCGATGCCAACCTATTGGAGGCAGTGCATGCATAGCATTTTTAATATTTGTGACGTCATCAGGTTACACTTTGCTGTCATTTAGGGTGCAACAATTATTTCCAAAATTCATCAATTTTCATCAAAATAAAACAATATTTAAGGCAAATACTAATTAAGAAGTGTTTATCATGTTTAAAAAATTCCTGGTTTCAATGAGAATTCAAATTTTTAATTGCCCTTTTCTCTGAACCACTTTTCTGCACTTGTGAGTTCATTTCTCACTCATTCATCAACCAATCTTCTTAATCTTTCCAACATAAAATAGTTTACGATATATGCTATCTATTGATGTGCATTACTTTTTATAATATATGCGGGTGATAACAAAAAAAATTATTTGAAATAAGTTCACAATTTTTCGAACAAAACAGACCTTCAAAATCACAATTTTCAAATTAAATGGAAAAGTTTCACATACATTTTTATAACATTGGGGTAAGTCTAATATAAGCCAAAGTGGTTTAAACTTTATATGGGGCCTTTAACAATTTGGCAAACAGATTACATCGTTTATTTACATACAATTGACACTCAACTAAAATGTGAATTTCTGTCTCAACAGACTGACTTTTATGGACACAACCTCTGGTCTATGGGAGTTACGGTGCATCTTTCTGTTTCAATGTTTATGGACAGTGTGACGTGGCGGAGTTAAGCAATAACACGTCCCTCATGATATCTGGTCATGAACTGCGTAACGTAAACGTAATGCTCTGGCTCAGTGCAATGTACTTTATGTAGGCGATAAGTTTGGAGTTTGTTTTCATTTGGGCATCCATTATCATTATGAATCATCATATGCCTTTTGGTATGATCTTGTGACGCTAGAGTTTCTTTGATTTGGCTAATTTTAGCTCAAGTGTTGGAATAAATTGCATGTCTATGACGTCATCTACTCCTGCTTGTAGACTAACATTGCCTTCGTGCGAAATTCCCATGTTTAGCGGTTTCCGACCCTCGTTAAATAAATTGAAGGTTAATGCACTTACTTATGCAAATTTAAGTTGCATTCGAAACAACTGTTCCAGACGTGACATTGGTTTTATTTTCCATGGCACAATCCGTGACAATACTCTGTGTTGATGTTGCATTCGAAACAACTGTTCCAGACGTGACATCAGTTGTATTTTCCATTGCAACATCCGTGACAATATTCTGTGTTGATGTTGGACCTCTGCATTTGCAATCATTAAACATCTCCTTCACAGCGTTGCGAAAACCAATGTGACTAAACGAATAGATAATTGGGTTGATGCTACAATTGAAAAACGTAAGCCAGACCGTAACATTATATAATGAATCGTAAGCTCTTTGTATGACATCGACACGTCGTAATACAACGTATGTAGATTCGCCCGTATAACATGTAAAGAACGCCACGGCGACTAAAATGAGGGTACGAATGACGGCATTTCTTGATCGAACCATTTGTAGATTCCTTTCTTCCGATCCAAGCTGGGAGTTTGTTTCTTTGTGTAGCTTTACTAGAATTCTGGTGTAGCAAAAGATGAGTATGCAGATTGGTATAAAATATTCTACGATATATAAATAGACAGCAAAGCTCGTATGGAAAGAGTGGTTTATCCATCGTGACCATAGCGAGCAATCGTATCCCCTCAAAACGGATGATCCTATCTGATATGCCTCGTTTATAAAGGGCAGTATCCAAACCATTGCCATCACAATTCGTATTCGTTTCTTGGTGACTAGAGTTTTGTAGGTCATTGGGTAAAGTATCGCAATGTATCGCTCAATCGTCAATGTGACAAGGTTCCATGTTGATACATTCATTATTGCCCATGGTATATATTCCGACAACCATATTCGACAAACAAATGTTGCAAGTGGTCCGGGTCTAGCAATCCAGTCCATACTGATGAATGATTTACTCAGCAAAATGAACGTGGCGGCAATCATATCTATAACGCTTTGATGAATTATAAGCATATTGTTTATCTTATGTCGGAGTTTTTCGGATTTTAAAAAGACAAACGCAACAAATGAATTTCCCAAAACGCCAGTGCCGCAAACCACACCGTATCCAATAAGCTCTTCTGATGGGACAAATGAATTTACCGTAAATCGTCCTTCTATGTTTTCTACTATAGTTGTATTTTGTACCATATCAACATCTTGAGTAACGTTATCCATCCTCAAAAGCTGTATTATTCGCGTTGTAAAATATACTACCATTTATATATATAAGCTCATTAATGTCGAAATAGGCTGTCTATTGGATAACTTTTCATTAACCATAGACAAAATGACACCACTTCATAGTTTATACATTATTTATTATGCTTCTAAAAGGTTACTTATGATCCATTAATTCCAAAAACATAGTTGTAACTAGAATAGTACTAGTTTGGCGTGAGTTGGGGTTAAGTTGACTGAGTTACCTAAATGAAAATACTAATTGACTAATACTAACACTCAATAAGAGAGTAACTGACATAAAAGAGTAAATAAATGGGCCAAATTCACAGGTACTCCACTCGATTACGCTGTTACAGAAACGGTCCGTTTCGGTAACAAAATGTCGGAACCTCGAACGTACGATTTTTCTTTTTTCATTAGTATCATATTTAAACGGAACTTCAAAAACAGTCCACATGTAAATTTGAAAATATTTTTTTCATTCATTCACTTTTTGTCACGACTTTAAAAGTTGTTTTTAGATATTTTTGAAAAAAATATCTTTGAAAAAATGTTGTCAGCTTCACATTTCTCAGATATTCAAATTTCCCGCTATTTTTTCAAATAAAAGTTGAAATTTTTCAATCATCAAATATTCCACTATACAATGCAAACGATTTTTCTTTTTCACACCAATGTAAAGATTGATCAAAGGACACACTATTTCAATAATATAATGTCATATTTAATATGCCACATCCAATGTTTTAGCATATCAAAAATAGTTTGCAAACTAAGTGACCGCATCGTGACATCACTCAGGTTGCAAAATAATCTTGATTTTTTCCATGTCAAACTCTTCTTAATTTGCTAAACTTAAGAAATAAACCAACGTTGATTGTCAAATAAGGTTAAAAGGAAAAATATAATGTTATAAATATTATTGTACCATTGGTATGAGAACTAAAATTTTAAAATGCATCTTTCTCTGAACCATTGAAACATCATGCGTGGATGAGTTTATTTCTCGCTAATCTATTAACCAATTTTCCTATTTTTTCGGCAAAAACATGCGAGGATGAATGCTATAAAATGGTGTGAATAATCGCTTATTAAAATACACGTATGACCTCGAAAAATTAGTTTCAAATAAATTCACGATTTTCGAACAAAAAGGACCATTGGACTACTATGGGAAATTCATCAAAGAGAAAATTCTAGGGATTAAGGAATGTGTACAGTTTACACAATTTGAGAAATTATTCGCATACATGGAACCTATTTAAAGCAGCATTTATATTATTCAAAAGCGTTGATTATCAAATGATTGCCAACCCTCCGAAGTTTGAAAGATTAAAATACCTGAGTGTTCATGCATAGATAATCCTTGAAAATGATAATATTTTTTTGGAAGATTATATGGTGCAATCTTATAGTTAATAAAATGTTTTAAAGTGTGCATTGATGTTTTTGGATGAAAAACATCATTCCCCCGACCCCTCCACACGAATTCTTGCATTTGAAAAATGAAATCCCCCTTTGGTACTATGACCTACTTTTGACCCAATTTGACCTTCTTTTTGATATTCTAAAATACCTTCTAGAGAGTTTTGAATATCCTATAACACGGTATCTTACTTTTCTCTTCAACTTTGGAAACGCCAAGGGGGCATCCGGCTCCCCCTGTGTTATGGAAAATACGGTGTACACACTAGCGTTATGAGATTATCATATTCAAATTGAGAAAGTAGTCACGGTGATATATATGACCTGTCTAAAATTACTTGCCATACTTTTGAAAAATTCATTTTCTAACTCAAAAACTGCTTGTCATTCGCAGACAAAATCAATCAGCACATGCAATGACAAAATGAAGCTTCTGCACGAAATTCGTCGGAGGATATTTTGAGTTAAAAAATAGAGTTTGTGAAAATCTTGAAATTTCTAGATCAGAAGGGTGTAGACGAAGTTATGTCAAACGAATGCAGAGTGTGCAGGGCGAAGAATCCAGGAAATGATGCCCGATGAAACCTTACATTTTTAAAAATAGTAAATTACGAGTATGACATACCTACTGAAAGCTTTGGAAACGTAACATTTATTCCATCCTGAAGGTCCCTGGTAGAGTTTACATCTGCTTGGCCTGAAGGAGTCTGAACTGACGCGTTGGAGGTTGGCTCTGGAGCCGTTTCTGTAATTGTGCTCGGAGCAGTTGACCTACTAATTCCAACTGAGGTTTCTTCCAGATCACTTTCTCTGTTTGTGCTTGATGCAGTTGACGGACGTGTTACAGTTGTTGTAGCACTCCATGTTGTACTAGTTATTGTCTCTGCAGTTATGTCTATTGTTGTACTAGCTACTGTTGTTATTGCGTGTTCAATGGTAGATGATGCGCCCGTAAAGGGATCATCTGATGAAGATGCTGACGGTGACGTATCGGTTAGTACACTTCGGATTGTCGAGGCGTTTGTCGTTCCTGGCGTGGTCACTACTGTTGAATCATCTGTAAAATCATTCGGAACATATGAACTTGATTTGTTAATTTTTTTAATCAATAGGTTTATTTCATAAATACGCATACCGTGAATGGACATGGTTGCATATTGGGGCAAATCGCCTTCATGTCCAGATGTAAAGTTTTACTGTAAACATATGTGAAACTTGAATATCTAAAATTTGGACAAATATAAATAATTTGAATTTAATAATTAGTTGTAACGGATTACGAGTAATTAGGAGCCAGTCGCAAGTTCTTATTCTTTGTAATTTGACTTTTGTTTATATTTTTTCATGAGATTTTCACTACAACAAAATAAATTCAGAGTTCAATAGTTGTCAATAGTACATCGGTAGCTAGTATCGTAACGGTCAACAGTACATTAGCGGTCAATAGTCAGTATGACTGACTTTTTAATGAACCAATGAAAATTAAGCATTTAAATTGTGATGACGTTCTATCAACTTTAATAAATCGAAAATTTCCTTACCAATTAAGGAACAGTCGAGGCCAGTCCACCCTGTTCCACAATCGCAATACCAGGCAACTAAATCACTGGTACATTCCCCGCCATTTTGACAGGGATTGCTGGTACAATGCCATCCTTCAACACAGCATAACGTAAGCGCATGCGCAACCATTATTACATAAAACCAAGCATTCATCACGTGTCTTTGTCCAATTAAGCACTGTGTATGATGCCTGTTCGATTATTGTACGTTTCTTCGTCGGGTAAGCGGCGCATGTGCAACCATTAGTACATAAAACCAAGCATCCATCACGTGTCTTTGTCCAATTAAGCACTGTGTATGATGCCTGTTCGATTATTGTACGTTTCAGCGTCGTGTCATTTGTATAAATTGTTATGTTCTTGAAGATTCCATTGAATTATCCTTGTACAACTGCTATTACGTCCAATGTAATTTCATTCAGTATGTTGCCAAAGAGGGCACAATAAATTGGTCTGTTGTTTGAACTTAATGTAGAATCACGTTGGTTTTAAATTTTAATGTATTATCCATCCCTTCTCTTGCCGCCAATTGTTATGTACGCTTTTATAATAATTTTATATGAGACTTTCTTTTGTCGAAATCATCCACATGATCTATACTTGATTGCAAACACTTCTCCTGCTTTGGATCATGGGTGTCATCTTCAAGTAAAATGCAATGATTTTTACCCAGCATTAGATCAATCTCAACTTTGGAGAAGATCTTGAACGATCAAGTGCCTGCTGGAACATTTGAGTACATGTCTGATCTTTGAAGAAGTGGGCGCAAGTGCCTCCTGGAACATTTGATCTGTCTTATCTTTGAAGAAGTGGGCGTTAACGCGTTGATATATTTTTTGCGCTTATGTATCAATATTGCGCCATACGACTACACCGTATTTGATTATTTCTATGGCATGTGATAGAATTTGCATCAAATTAAATTGAGAACATAAAAGCGTCGACGCTCGACCCGTTAAAACTTAATAGTAAACCACATGATGACATTAAAATGAATTCGAACATGACTGTATTCACGCCTTCTATAAGCTCTAAACAAGTCAACATTTCACCCGGGGTATATTCGCAAAGAATACCCCTGGTGTAATGCGTGACGTCATAACGACGGGTCGTAGTAATGGCGGACCATAACGAAACATTTCGATGAGTTTTCATGTTCGAATAGTAAAATAGACCTCAGAGCAGGGGTAATATCGTCGAATATACCCATTAGGGCTAGGCACAAACAATTTCTGCACCGAAGGGAGTTCGGGGTACAGAAATTGTTTGTGCCTAGCCCTAAGGGGTACATTCGACGATATTGCCTCTGCTCTGAGGTCTATATTTCTTAAATAAACCATTTGAGAGTATGATATTCTTGCACCGTTTCCAATTATATGTTTTACATGTATAACTCCGTGCGAGAAATATTTTTATAAAACTAGCACGAACCCCTAAAATGACCAAATGTGTACGTGTACATGTTTTTAAAATAGTTTCATTAACCTTTTTTGTTTTTAGAAGAATGATTTTGTTGTAAACTTCTAGGTTTTCTATGGAAGGAACCATAGCCATCCCACGGTACCTCAGCTCATTCTAATTAATATTTGCCAAATGTGATTGTTTTCTCCTCAAATTTTACGAGTTGTGTGCTGCGTTTTGTATTCTCGATCTAAAAGCGTTTTAAGCTGAAAACGCCACTTTTAGAATTGTTAAACCGACTGAGTGACTTTTTCTTGCAACCTGTCATCACAGACACTCATTACGTGTCGCTCTTTTGTTTTCATTCGGCTAAAGATAACGCCACACCCCTCCGTGGGATCGATCCCCGAGTGATCAAATTGTAAACGATATCCATTTGACATTTAACATCAAGTCCTGTTCCGTCTTTCCATTCTGTGTTCATGTTTGCCCTCGGAAGTCTCAAGATGTTAACTTGTTAAGTCTCGTACTTTAGTCTCGTAAGGTGAAAGACATCGGATACCTTTAATCATTAAATTCTAATGTAATGATGATCCATGTTGCGTTAAATAATCAATATTACAATCTCCGTTTTGAAGCGAATCGCTACATCGTTGACGCAACTGTCACGCGTGACGGCCTAACCCGATACAGAGATACTAGCCTATTCATTGATTGATTGTGAAATAATTGCAGGTGATTTTTTCACTCAAGAGTGTGTCTTTTTATGTCTTTAGGAAAGAATTGCTTGCTTTGATATTTCGCTTTCGAGCATGTTTTTTATAAAAATAACAAACTTTTGACTTTGGTTCCCGTTCTTTTCCGCTGGATGTTTTCGTTGGTGATATTTCTGTTATCTATATGAGCTGTCGATGACCCTCATTTTCTTAAGGCGTGGGTAATTCCGAAGAGGCTCAAGGCTCTGACCATCAGCATATGGTCAATAATTGCACTTTGAATGTTTGGTTTCACGTTTCCTAAACTATCTACATATCTTCATCGACTACCATGTTAGATTGCCAAGGTAAAGTTTGCAAGTTTTGATAGAAAATTAACTGGTAAGCGATTATGATCGCGTTCTGTAATGCGAACCCATTTTAGGGCGATTTCATACATGACAGAATCTCTACTCTCCTTCAATCCTTTCAATTGGGTATAATAACCGATAAGCGCACGTACGAAGACACGTTTCCGACCATCCACCAACTTGTATACGATTCCGTACATTATAAAATACATTTGAAACCATGACGCGCAAGATGTTCAAATGGAATCGAAATACAAAATATTTCCAATATTGTACAATATAGTTGAACATGACCTCACTATTAAACTTGACAGGTGTTTGATTAATTACCGTTGATGAATAGCTTATCTTCCTAAACACGACAACGATCAATGATGCACTGGCACAAACTGTCAATTAATTATTTATATCTATAGCAAGCATTATACGTCGTAGAGCCAAAAGGACAACATCCTCTGAATACAGGCCTTCACAACTCGTACCTCGTTCTTCCAAGAAGATGGAATGATAAAGGGAGGAAAGTTTGTGGATGATGTATGAACCCCTGCGTTCGGAGGATGAAAGGACACCAACTGTACAATATCACACCGCTGACGTTGCAGAAAGCATTTCTAAAATTCGAAGAAAACCCCCTGAAACTTCAGGCAAGATTTCGTTGGTACAATTTCTGAACGAAAACTACACGAACACGTACAATCCAAAATGGCCGCTTTAAATGTTCCTACCATTCCCGAAAAGTTATCTCACTAGTTCTAACTTTTAAAATACTAAGAATCAACATTAAACATTGAGAGAATATCTGTATTGCTATATTAACCCATATTATTATTATTATTAATTTATTAACCTGTAGTTAAACAGAGTAGTTTTATAATTTACAACACATATACATGTACATAATAAAGTCAAAACTATTTACAGAAAGTGTTTTTTGGTCACCTTTTTACATCTGGTTACCAGTGTACGCTCGCATTAAACGAGCTCTTTTTATACTCATTTGGAGAACAATTTCACCTATTTGGATCATGTTATTTTCAGTTATATGTTCGTGATAGCCGAATACAACGCTCTTTAAATCACAAGGGTTACCGTATTTATTTATAATAGAAGTCAGTCTGGCATGTTCATCAAAGTAAGCCTCACAGGAGCTAAGGAAATGTTCAATCGTTTCTACCTCAAACGTATTACACAAAACGCAAATACAATTTAGCCAAGAGTTTTTTACGCGCAGCTCATGGCAGTCTGTAGAGAGGCGCATCATAATTTTGCTTTACAGCATTTTAAGACGATTTAGAGCACTTTTGGGGGTTTTACCGATTTTTAAACAATGGCCACGTCCATTCAGACTGTGGGTCCCACAATGGGTGGGTCACAGAAACCACCTTTTGGCACTTGTGAGACACCTGGCTCTCCTGCTAACATGGACGCTCATTTTCAATGTACAACTTTCCCATGTGACAATGGGCGAGGAACACGAGTGGTTATGGTAAAGTAATAAAGTAGACACAAATGGTTTGCGTTTGGGATATTAATAATTCCGTAAGTTTTTAAAGTATTTTATTATCATTTATTATTTATATAAATTGTGATCTCCTAAAACATTCATTGTTATTCTTCTTTTGTTCTCATATTTCATTAATAGGAAGTGAATGTGAATGGTACGTTTTATAACTGGACAAAATAAGTGAAAGTTATTGGAAGTTAACTCCTTAAAACCCTTTGGGAAACTAGATAGAAGCAATGCTAATCTCGATGCTAATACACAATAAACATATACAGTATATTGTCATAGTTATTGTAACATAAATCGTAGAACAAGAATGGTTGTATATTGTTACACGCTTCTTTTTGTGTCCTTCAGACTTCCAAATGTCCCAGGTCCTACAAGGATTTAATTAATGAATACGACATCGAGCGAAGAGTTAGGGATTGTCAAGCGATCTTCACTAGATCGCCATCTTTTAGACAATATCCCACATAAGGTGTAGAGTAGAAGTCAATTGGGTCGTTTGTCAAGATTCAAGATGTTATTGTGTTTCAAACCAAACATTTTGTTTCCACACAAAAACCATTTCAGGGCATTTGCATATAATTACATGTATGCATTTACGTCGTAAAACGCATTGCTTAAAGAATATTTCAATTTGACTATCTTACAATCAAATGTTTTCCTTTTTCAAATAGCTCCTGACATTGAATCAAACCTAGCAAAATAACAAAGTGTAAGAGCGTATGGAAAAATACATTGAATTTCATATTTACACGCGAAACGTTCGTATATTAATTTCAGATAATTAAGGATTTAAGCCTTGGACTCAGTGCAATGTTGATTGAATCATTCCTCAAAAAGGTGTTATTTCAACTTTACTACGAGATGCGCAGCTATGTGTGAAGTTTAGGAAATAACACCCGAATAGAATGATTCAGCCACAATGCATCACGTCTTGGGATTAGATTATTTTCACACATTTCAAAATAGTTTCTGCGAATCACATTAGATACGAAATCACTAAAAGAAACTATTTTCAATTAAACTTTTGCAAGGGTCAAGTTGGCAAAGTATCTATTTCAATGAACCATGCGACGTATGACCTTGGGTGCTTAGCTGGTGATATAATGCACTGCAGTTCTATGAACTATTGTGTTCATGGTCAATTACTCAGATGCGAGTAGGTAGTTACCAGTT